TTTTTATATATTAATTATGATTATTTTTATTAAATTTTATTATTTAGAAATTATAATACACTCTTTTTTAATGTCGTTTAAATTTTTGTAATATGCTGAAAGCATCGATAAGGTAAGTTAGCCGGGATTTTCTTCACTATTGGAAGCCTTAAGCCGATTTTTCTATTTCTTCAATTAATTTTTATTAAATTAAAAGTATTACTAAAGTAAAAAACATTAAAATAAAACTTAATTGAAAGAAAGGCAATGATTGTCGCAAGTTCCTCCTACTTTTATATCTTCAACCAATTAGTTTAGTTGTCGGTATCTTTGATAAAAAAAAAATTTTTTTAAAGCGATTTATCTTTTATATTTAATGAAGGACCGAATATGTTTGATGTAATTTTTATTTAATTTTCTTGTAGGAATTTACTTAATTTTTTTTTGTTATTTATTTACTAAATTCTTTATTTATATATAAGAAACTTTTAAATAGTTTTTATATTTGTTATACTTATTAATGTTTTATTTTCAGGATTACACAACACATTTTCGACATTAATATTGAATAATAGTAAGTATTTTTTGTATATTTTTATAAATGTTAGTAAATATTTTAACAAAAGAAGTAAATATTTTAATAAAAAAGTAAGTAAAAATAAGATTTAATAGATAAAAATGCTAATAACTTTAAACTTTTCTATATCCTTCCCCTACTTTAAAGTGCAAAAGCATCGGTTTTCTCCTTTAAAACATCGAAAAACCTTCAGGAAAATCTATAACGAACGTAAATTGCAAGATAACACCACTGAACATTGGTAATTGATCGTGGCCTGACCAACGAGGAATTTTTCGGATTTTCTTTACGTATCTAACACCTAAATAAGGGTGAATTTGCTATACAAAGTCTCCCTTAAGGAATGAATGCCCCCTTGGCATATTTCCCATGTGTTGTTTTGCCTTATTTTATCGATCCGATGCAGTTATAAATTGTAAACTATTGTCAAAGTTTACTGATTTATGTGTACTTTTTAAAAACGTCACCCATTTTAAAATCCTACACACAGGCCTGTCCATACATAAGAAAAGAAATGATAATACACGAGAGAAATGTTCAAGTGTGACGTTTCTCAAGCGATCTTTCTAAGTGGAGTTGAAAATTACATACATTTATAACCTAGGAGAAGTGTTATTACCTGAAAAACAAACACAAAAAAAAACTTACAAAATGATACTTCAATATATTTACAATATATAGGCCTATATATATATATAGAAACTTGCAGCAGGAAAATTGTAATTTTGTAAAAGTACTTTCTCACTTCAAGGTCATAGAAGATGACAGTTCATCTTGACAGTTAATCGGTGGATGAGGAGGGAAGAGAAATGAAGAGAAGCGCATGCCCAGTTTGTTTGATTGATCTACAACCGTGGAGCACCTCCCGTTCGCACTTATTTAGTGCAAGCTATGATTGAGAATGTATTATTTCTCCTATCCTTCCATTAAACTTAAGTAATTAAAGGTAAGCCAATCATATTAATTAAATAATAAACTTAACTTCCGACGTTTACGTCATTAAATCTTATAAAACGTAAACAATTGATGAGTTAAGAAAGTTTAAAAATATTGTTTTTTTTTTTTCTTTTTATGTTAAAAATTTATTTATTCCTCGTAGTTTTAAAGCTTAAAATAATTAATTGAATTTTTTTATCGCATAAATTATTATGTAAAGTTTTTTTTTAACTGATAGCTTTCTCTTTTGTTCGGGGAATTTGTGACAACCGTTCCTGAACTCTTCTGATAAGTCCAATTTGTTCAATGAGTGTCAGTTCCTGAATTTCTGATCGATAAGACAGCCATAATGTGAATTTATAAAGGTCAGATCATTATTTTATTATATTTATTTGGTAAATAAAATTTTTATGTTTTTACAAGTAAAGAAGTAAAGTGCTCAAAGTTGCTTTCTGTATCCGATTCAGCTAATCCAAATTTTATCAATATTTTATTAACGTGGCATAACTGGGATGTTGTATGAATAGGTGCAAAATTAATATATTTAATAAGGGTAGAGCTATATAAGGCTATTAAAATCCTATCATCAAATCTGCTCATTACAAGCTATAACTCAATCTTCTTGAGAAATTGGGAATAGTTTGCTTTATTCCTTTGTGACGACGCGATACATGGGCGATCTGCCGAGGGGTAATGCCTCCCAAGAGGTCTTTTATGGGAATGTGGCCCCAATTTAGGTGTTACTAACGTGAAAAAAACCAAGAAAACTTCATCAGCCGTTGTGAATTGCGAATCCACGACCATCCACTTGGTTATTAGTGGGCGAAATTGAAGATAAAACTGTAGCCAAAACTATTTATGAGTATTTATGAAAACCATCATAAATTTAATCCCTAAATTTAAGAAATCTCTTAGAAAACCATCATAAATTGATTCACTTCAAGATTTGAACCTAGATCCTTCAGGAAACTATCTTAAGGTGTTACTATCCAATTGCTTCCATTGTGGACCTGGTCGAACCCACGATGGGTGCAGGAAAAACATCCATCTGAGTGTCTACAAGGCAAAAACAGTTAAAAATACAATAAAACTTACATAATCTTTTTTTGCATTCGTTCTTCTTCCTCTTGAATACTCCAAAAAGTTGATCGCTATACAAACAATTGATAAATTAATATGTATACAATTTTTCTCACATTTTACTTTGTTAATTCAACCAATTCACTTACACATAACTAAAAAAATATAAAATGATGCCACTATCATCATCACACTACCACTTTGTATCTACGTATCGCTGTAATGTGTTAATCGACAAATGTATATGTCTTGGCAACACTTTTAGTTTGATTAAAATACGACTTAGACATATCCTGGCAGCACTTCAATTTTATATAATGCCTCCAGTTCTAAGTGTTGGAGCCGCCATATCTTGGCAACGGTTAATTTTATCGATTAAATTCTCGTTCTTGTGTTTTTGGTCTACCGATTCTAACATTTGATATCAGCTTAATAGCTATAATTACAATAATTACGTGTAAATAATATCAAATTGAATAGTAAATATCATAAATTATGAAGAAACTACTTATAGATAAGAATATATTAATTTTTTTCCAATAGAAAATAGAAGGTAAAGTATTGTTATCTGATAATTTCAAACTTTATTTGATGGTATCCACCAGTGGCTAATTGGGTAAAACCACTGAATACTGGTCATGGGTTCGCGCCTAACTAACAGGATAGTTTTTCTTTGCGTGCCTCATACTTGAATAGAAGTAAGTTTCCTATAGAAAAGTACTCCAGGATGACATACCCCTCTGGCAGATCGNAGGAATGATTTTATCCCAAAAGAACGAAGGTCAAACAGCGCGTGTATATATTATATTAAAGTAAAGTATCTTTCTGTTTGTCGTAAAAACCCTTTCCTTGTATGTACTAAATTAAAGTATAACGTGTCATCACCTTTAATATATCAATACGCTCGCTTGAATCCATTAAATCTACATTACCTTTGACAGTTAGATAATTGAAGTAAAAGTACCGTACCAGAAAGATATTTTTCTCTAGAAAACACAAGAAATAACAGTTATAAATTGGTAAAAATTTTACATAATTATTCTAGAGTTTTAAAAAAAAAATCACTATAATAATTTATTATTATTCTATATACGTGTAAATTATGTTAGAACTTTTAAAACTTTAATTTAAATAAATTTAAATATAGGCTACTTTTTTAAGCTTAAAATTAGTAACGAAATAATTGCAACGAATGTAAATATTTTAAAAATAAATTCATATTTAGGTAAAAGCCATAACAAATTATGAAAGGATCAAAATTATATCTTATATATTTTTTTTAATCAAATCTACTTGATTCTTCCATTTCCTGAACAAACTTATCTTCATTTCCTAAATAAAACTATCACAAATTTTCCTTTTTACTTACAGTTATCACGTATTAGAAGTAAACTTCTTAACTGTTTATCTCATTTCCCCCCCCCTATTTTCCTTTATCTTTATTCTCACGTATTATTTTTTATAGATCAATCTTCGTAATTTTAATGCTAAATTTTATCAAATTTATATGAAATATCAGTCAATTATTAAATCAAGCAGTTGTTCCACATCGATTTTTAACTGTTCCAGCTCTTAAATTGTCATTTTTCAATACAAGTCGACCCCCCTATAACACTGTTGATTTTTCCGTTTTATATGAATTCCATGTTGTACGAGTCACCTAGATTTTACAAACACATGTGCCGGGCTGTGAACGGCTCACGTATTTTAAAATCTAAGTGACTCGTACAACATGGAATTCATATAAAACGGAAAAATCAACAGTGTTATAGGGGGGTCAACTAATTATTTTTCTATTGATATTGTATAGCAATACTATCTTCATCGCTTGATCATGTGTTTCAGCAGTGTAATTCACTCGAAATATAGTAATAATTGCAAACATTATCAGAAAACAATAAATACTATTGTGAAATATTGCTACAGAATACTAGCAGGTGGGAACAGGCTGATTATTGGATGGTTGTAATACAGTTAACGATTATTTGATAGGAAGTACAATTAAAGGTTAATTTACTTGATGAGAAACAATGTTAAAGGTCAATTGATTTATGAAAAATAATGTTAAAGGCTACTAAAATAAAAGATAAAGAACATTAAAGGCTATTTGACTAATTAAAAACAATGCTAAAGACTAGTTAGAGGACAATGTTAGAGGCTTCTTGTATGTAGGAAAAAATATTAGATTACTTAAATTAATAAGAAAGAACACTAAATTGATAGAAAACATTGCTAAAATTATTTGATTTAATGGAAAATATTGTTAAAACTAATGATTATTGAGAAATAATTTACAAGATTATTAATGAATTATAAGATTTCGCATTTCAGATGATCGTATTGTAAAATTTGCTACTCTATATCTTTAATCAATAGTCATTTACATTAACAACATAATCGCATTGAATACTGAGACTGATACAGTCAAACCTATTAACAACGGCCATTAACAGAAGCATAAAAATGTCCGGTTGTTGGAGGTTCGATTGTGTAAACTAATAAAAATTCGACTTAAAAATAACAAATACAATTATATTCTAGAAAGAATTATAACTAAATTTATTCATTTTAATATATTTATATAAAGTCTTAATTTTTAACCTTGCTTTTATTTTTATCCTTGGTTTTTATGCTATAATTATTAATTATCCTTGGTTTTAAGCCTTAATTTTTATCCACAATTAACCTTAATTTTTTTTTTACCTTTGGATTTTAAGTCTTGGTTTTAACCTTTGGTTTTAAGTCTTGGTTTTTATCTTTGGTTTTAAGTCTTGGTTTTTATCTTTGGTTTTAAGTCTTGGTTTTAACCTTTGGTTTTAAGTCTTGGTTTTTATCCTTGGTTTTAACCTTTGGTTTTAAGTCTTGGTTTTTATCCTTGGTTTTAACCTTTGGTTTTAAGTCTTGGTTTTTATCCTTGGTTTTAACCTTTGGTTTTAAGTCTTGGTTTTTATCCTTGGTTTTAACCTTTGGTTTTAAGTCTTGGTTTTTATCCTTGGTTTNGTAGTATTCCACTTCTACATCTTCCTTACTATTGTTCAGTAATATATTCAAATCTTATAATTAAGTTCTCATTCTAAATAAGACTTTGCTCTTACTTTTAATACTTCTAACTAGCAGTTTTTGGGTATAAGTACAGTACATTAAAAAAAATATATAGGCCTATATATAAAGCCAAATTTCAAATTATTCTGCATTAATTAAAATTTAAATTAATTTGAATTTATTAATAATTTCTAAAATATTTCATAAATATTAAAATATTTATTTATTTTTATTACTTATATATAATAAATAATAAGTTTAATTGCTTATTTTTTAAATTAATCAATAAGACTACGATAATTTTTAAAAAATAAACCAATTAAATTTAAATATTTAAACAGCCAATGATTCATTAAACATATTTCTACGTCATCGAAGAAATAACAAATAAAGTTTCGATTTCGTTTTTAAATCTAACCAATAAAACCGAACGAATCTCGAACACATCCAATAAAACTTTACAATTTCTTACGTCTGTAAATATCCAATAATTTTTTTTCTTTTTAATTTACGTCACAACGTATTAACAAATAAAGTTTAAATTCTATTTAAAATTTAACCAATAAACTTGAATTAGAATTCAAAATAAACCAATTAAACTGTTCCGATTTTTTAAATGAACCAATGAAGCTAATAGTGAGAGTAATATACTTAAAATGCAAAAAATATTCATTAAAATCGATTTTAATTAATTAATTTCGACTGATTAATTGTCAATTAGATGGGTTGTAACGTTGGACGTCAAACAGTGCTTAAAGGAAAAACCGAAGAACAATTATTAGCAAATTTAACTTCTCGACAAATAGAACTTGTTACAGAAACTTGGCAAATTGTATCTCAAGACATGGCGAATGTAGGAGTTATAATATTTCAAAGGTAAATATTTAAAAAATATATATAAAATTAAAATTCTATTTTTATACTATTTCTGAATAATTTATTATCTGTAAATTTTCTATAAAATATTCTATTAAATTTTTTCCCCTCTAATTGTGTCATAAACATCGAAATTCTTACTGCAAGTGAGGTAATGAGAAAATTTTTAATTAAATTTCTAAAATATTAAGAAAAAAAACGTGGATTTAATTATATTTGCGTTTGGATAATTAACCAACAATATTTCAAAAATTTTAAATTTATTAATTTAATCTCTCATCAAAGAAAAAAAAAAGTAATTCGATAATTATCCAATTAATTCAATTTTTATATTTCAGAAATAACGTCGTAGAACATTCATCCAATAAAACGCTTTAATTTCAAATTTTCAAATATCTCGTATCGTTAATTAACCAATTAAACAACGTTAAATTTAAAATTAACCAATTACCTCGTCGATTGAAATTTTTTAAAAATTTTAACTATTGCGTAATTGAGAAATTAACCAATTAAACGCGGATACGATTTAAAAACGACCAATCAAGATTAAAAATGAGAAATTAACCAATTAAACGCGAATACGATTTAAAAACGACCAATCAAGATTAAAAATGATTGAAAATTGTCCAATTTCCGTGTTTTTTCATCGTATTTTACTACGAAATAATTATTATAAACATTTATGAATAGAGAAAACACGTTGCCATGGAAATTTCTTAAAGAAAGGTGAATAAAAATTGCATCAATAAATAATTTTACCCTTTTAAAAATGTATAGATCACGCGTAAAATATATATAATTTTTAAAAAATAAACCAATTAAATTTAAATATTTAAACAGCCAATGATTCATTAAACATATTTCTACGTCATCGAAGAAATAACAAATAAAGTTTCGATTTCGTTTTTAAATCTAACCAATAAAACCGAACGAATCTCGAACACATCCAATAAAACTTTACAATTTCTTACGTCTGTAAATATCCAATAATTTTTTTTCTTTTTAATTTACGTCACAACGTATTAACAAATAAAGTTTAAATTCTATTTAAAATTTAACCAATAAACTTGAATTAGAATTCAAAATAAACCAATTAAACTGTTCCGATTTTTTAAATGAACCAATGAAGCTAATAGTGAGAGTAATATACTTAAAATGCAAAAAATATTCATTAAAATCGATTTTAATTAATTAATTTCGACTGATTAATTGTCAATTAGATGGGTTGTAACGTTGGACGTCAAACAGTGCTTAAAGGAAAAACCGAAGAACAATTATTAGCAAATTTAACTTCTCGACAAATAGAACTTGTTACAGAAACTTGGCAAATTGTATCTCAAGACATGGCGAATGTAGGAGTTATAATATTTCAAAGGTAAATATTTAAAAAATATATATAAAATTAAAATTCTATTTTTATACTATTTCTGAATAATTTATTATCTGTAAATTTTCTATAAAATATTCTATTAAATTTTTTCCCCTCTAATTGTGTCATAAACATCGAAATTCTTACTGCAAGTGAGGTAATGAGAAAATTTTTAATTAAATTTCTAAAATATTAAGAAAAAAAACGTGGATTTAATTATATTTGCGTTTGGATAATTAACCAACAATATTTCAAAAATTTTAAATTTATTAATTTAATCTCTCATCAAAGAAAAAAAAAAGTAATTCGATAATTATCCAATTAATTCAATTTTTATATTTCAGAAATAACGTCGTAGAACATTCATCCAATAAAACGCTTTAATTTCAAATTTTCAAATATCTCGTATCGTTAATTAACCAATTAAACAACGTTAAATTTAAAATTAACCAATTACCTCGTCGATTGAAATTTTTTAAAAATTTTAACTATTGCGTAATTGAGAAATTAACCAATTAAACGCGGATACGATTTAAAAACGACCAATCAAGATTAAAAATGAGAAATTAACCAATTAAACGCGAATACGATTTAAAAACGACCAATCAAGATTAAAAATGATTGAAAATTGTCCAATTTCCGTGTTTTTTCATCGTATTTTACTACGAAATAATTATTATAAACATTTATGAATAGAGAAAACACGTTGCCATGGAAATTTCTTAAAGAAAGGTGAATAAAAATTGCATCAATAAATAATTTTACCCTTTTAAAAATGTATAGATCACGCGTAAAATATATATAATTTTTAAAAATTTAATAATAGAAGGAAATATTTATTTATTAATATATA